AAAAATATTACTATTTTATATTTTAAATCATTATATATTTTTTTCTCTCTTAAATTAGTTAATAAAAAAAGAAATAAATACGCATGCGCGCGAGTGATATTGTCTCATGTTCTACATAGAAGTACATATATACATTGGATTATTACATATATAATTTAGATGATGCATTTTCATGCATTATATATTTGAAAGTATTAATGATTTACTAGTTTACATAAAATGTGGTCAGGTGTTTTTGATTAATTCTTGACAATTTTTTGTATCATCCATTTTTACTAATTAACCAAACTTTTACTGATTTACATAAAATGTTGATACAAGAAATTTACAAAATATGAACAATCTGATTGTGCTGGCTTCTTTTACAGCATTTGGCTGTTATAAATTATAAGGCGACAATCAAATTTATTTGATATATTTTTGTAATATAAATTTGTAACTTGGTCATATGCAAATAATTTGATGTAAACATGAATTTTAAATTTTATACTAATCTAATAGTACAAGAGTATTTACAAGTTTGTTAACTTTTAGACACAATGTCAATATTTATCATTTGAAGTTATTACCAACACAGGTACTGAAATTACATCTCTTTCTTTATGCCTAATTATTCGTTTATTCGAACACTGTCCTGTAAACAGCCGGCATTGCATTAATTGAAAAATTTTGTACACAGGAACCAGAGAAAATATGTCAAATCATATCGCGGATTTTCACCACATTTTGGTTAGATGTAATTCAAAATCAATCTAAAATATTATTCATTCTGGATCACTCTGTAGAGTCTCGCCATTAGTTAAAACTAAAGCATCATCATCGCCTTCATTATAATCGAGAGAAAGAATACTTTCTCTTCGTTTCTTCTTGTGCGTCCTTTCATCATCACTACTGGCTGCACTTTTCTCCCTCTTTGTCCTGTCCCTACCCCGCGTTGTTCGCGTTAGCACCTCTTCCCCGTTTGATTTACCACTATTCCTATTGTGACTTTTACTCCTTAATATTCGTTTATTCCGATTTTCCTCGTGTTCCTCTTCTCTATCACTGAGTTCCTCATTTTCAACTTTAATAATTAGTGCCGCGGAGTCGCTAGAACTCTCGTCATTATGATCGGCTTGATTAAGTTTTCTCTCTGCACGTTCTGTTCTTTCAACACTAGTAAGCTCACTCTGGGGCGACGTTAACGATGGAGTTCTTACACCTTTGCACATATCACTGTCCTCCATCGGTTTCGGAAGTTTCGTATCTGGTGCAGGAGTTTCTTCCAATTCCTCCTTTTTGATTGGGGGTGTATGGGGTGATAAACCATTCGATAAATTATTCTCATTTGTATTCGTCTTCAATGCTGAATTTTCCTGTTGTAATAGCGTGACAGATTCTCGAGCCTTGCGTAATTCTTGTTGTAAGAAGTAAATAGTACTCTGCATACCCTCCACATCTTCATCTAAATCTTGTAGAAACTCGTCTAATTCTGCAAAATGAGAGAAAATGTCCAAGTTCTATGACGCTTTCAAATATATGACATGCAAAACACATTTCAATTATAAAAAAGATCCAATAATTATAGTAATTATAAAAATTGCTTTGTATAAGTTTATAAATTAAAGAATATTTAACAGGATACCTGATTGTGACTTTTTTACTTCTTCACTGAAACTTTTTTGTAAGGCAAGTTCACCTTCCAACTTAGCAATACGTCCACTAGCAATCATACGACCAAGTTCTTCATTTTCTTGATATAATAATCTACATTTTGCCATTAATCTTTTCCCTGTATTGCTATAAATAAAATATAATTAGTGAGAAGAGCGTTGTGTACTATATTTCATTTACTATATATTTTATATAGTTATAGAATATATGTATACTTTAATATATATATATTTTAATACGTAAATGCTAAAGACTTTTGCTAACCTGTCTGGCGTAAATTTCCATGCGCTTAGCTCATTTTGTGTATCCTCTAATTTACTCTTGGTCGTTATTAATTCTTGCCTTAATTTCTGTATCAATATATTAACAGCCGGATCTAACAGAGCAGACCTTAATGCAACTGCGGACGGAGCTTGGGTGGCTTTCATTTCAGTTATTTGATTCTAACAGAAAAGAAAAGTCTTTTTTATTTATAGGTTTACATAAAAATAAGTTTCAAGACAAATTTTATTATAATTTCAGTGTATCTGAAAATGTTTACATACAATATATTCTTGCAATTCCTGCTCTTTAGAGGCAAGCCTCCTTACTAAGATCTTCTCCCTGTGAGATGCTTCTACATATTGTTGCCTGTATTTGTTTTCGGATTCTCTCAATGAGGCTAGTTCACCTATAAAGGAATAATCTATGAATTTTTCTATTTCTAGAATTTCAGTATCCGATGGCATCTATGTGTTTCTCAAAATTGCAATATTTATGATGTGTATATATTCAACATAATATCTCCCACAAGAAAAATATTTCCTATAGAATACCAAAATTATTTGTTACATTTAAAATAATTATAGTGAAATAATGAAACATATTTCATATGGAGGAGATATATAATGCATTTGCAAACATATATAAACTTTGAAACTACTTTAAGTCTGCAACAGTTTATTTTGTTTGGAAAAAAAAATCTAGTCATTATTTTTATCATATTTTGTCAAAATCTCTATTTTTTTTTTTTTTTTTTAATATTTTACGTGTAAATTTAATTTTTTGGCTCTTTTGCATATAAATAGACAAGAAAATATTAATTTGATTTTTATATACTCTAATTTAAATAAATAATATTTATATAAGCATACAAGATTGAAAATTTTTAAATTTTATAAATTAAAAGATTAAAAAGTAAATTTTTTTATGATGATTGCTATTGTTAGTTATTCTATATGGAGGAGATATATAATGCATTTGCAAACATATATAAACTTTGAAACTACTTTAAGTCTGCAACATGTTTTACGTGTAAATTTAATTTTTTGGCTCTTTTGCATATAAATAGACAAGAAAATATTAATTTGATTTTTATATACTCTAATTTAAATAAATAATATTTATATAAGCATACAAGATTGAAAATTTTTAAATTTTATAAATTAAAAGATTAAAAAGTAAATTTTTTTATGATGATTGCTATTGTTAGTTATTCTATGCAAACATATCATTTTTTAGGAATAAGAGAATTTTTTCTGTTATTTCTTAAAATAGTTAAACTGATAACAAATAAAAAAATTAAATAGAATTTATTATTATAAAGAAATATTAAGTGTATATCTCATTAATTCCATTGTAATAAAATTTTTTATAAAAAAGTTTCCTTTTTATAGCTATAACTGTAAAAATTGAATTAAATCAGTAATAATTTTATATTTTCCGAGAACATACACATTTATATAATGAAAAATACGAATTTATGAACCACATAGAGTGCTTGAAACCTGAGACTATAAATGTACTGTATTTGTGTGATTGTGTAAAATATTTTGTATAATTTTCATATGTAAATATATATATATAAAGAGAGAGTTTTTGTTGGAGCCAAGTGTGTACTGGTGAAAAATTACTATTTAATTTTAACCTAAGTGCGCATAAATAAACTATATATTTTCATAAGTATGTGACAATGACTGCCTGACAACTGACATTGTTAATTGGCGCATACTTTGATTTTGGAGCTCGTTGCGATGTGCCATTTGTCAGATACTTCCACCAAGACCAAGAGTGGATGTTACTTTTCTTCCGCAAGAATCAAGCATGTACTTGTAGGCATAGATGTTGTAACGAGACGCCGGCCGGGCTTAATTCACAGGTTTGTACTTTTGAAATTCGTTTCTGATATCCGGACATTATGGTGCAGGTATAAATGCATGCACACAAGTTGCATTCATAGTGAGAATATATAGAAGGATGATTGGTCTAGGAATACAATTAATGAAAAATTGCATTATCTAACTGGAAAAAGGTTTAAGGACAAAAGATAATATATAAAAATATGTAGATTTGAAAAAAAAAGGGTAAGGAGAGAGAGCTGATGGTAGGATTAGGTAATGTTCCAGTTTTGGTAACGGCGAATGTTGTGGTTGCGTACTTCACCGAGAGATTTAAATTCACGCACCCCAAATGTAGTATTTTGGCCAAGGGTGACATGGATCCATTCTTATTATTCCTCTGAGCCGTAAATTCAGCGTCTTCATAAAAACGCTGTGCTTTTCGTCTCATCTTTGTTAACTAGAAACTCGGTATTTCGAATTACACGCGCGCACACACTTGTCCTGCATTTGATGGTATAATTATTACACTGCAAAGGTATACGCGATACACTGCACAGGCACTTGCAAAATGTTATTTTGAATTAAATGGTTGTATCTTCCACAATATTGATGGCAGACACATTTCTTTTTTGCAAAGAAATGGACGCCTCTTGATACACATTAACACTTGTTATTTCAGCCATATTCACTTTTACTATGCTTTTCATGGCTGACAGTATAACTGCTCACAGGAAAATTTAGCGTAGATATATCTCGGCCTACAAATATATCCCAGCTTTTGTATATTGTATACGTGGCTATCACTCCACCTATGCTCACAGATACCTTGAGAATTTTCGCGTTTTGTGTCACTATACATATGAATCTTTAATTTAATTATCCGCACTACACATCACAAATATTGTTTTAAAAATTAATATATAATCGAGTTGATCAACACTATATCGCATATTACGAAACGCAATTATTCAGTTTTATATCTTTCTACTACTTGTGCAAATACATCAAAACAATCTGACTGCACATACGCATGTACTAAGCTTTCTCATAGAGAGCAACAAAAATACTTTCATATTTTATACCTATAGTGTATTACTCTTATTTACTAAAGCTCTCTCATTATCTTAATCCTAATAGACAATTTAGTGAAAGTATCCTAAACACTGGTCTAATGAACCCTATGCTTAACGTCCCTATGAGAGTCTTGTCTCTTATAAAAGACCGTTGTGTTCTGGCATTCGTTAATTCGCTTAAGATATGTGGTGAGTGAGGTGGTCTCACTCGTGTGATCTCAGTACCTTCCTGAGCTGCCGCCTGGGTTTCTAGACACTCCACATACAAGTCCTGTTCATGCCATTTAGCTGCTAGCTCGTCCTTTGTCAAGCTGTCCAATTGTTGCTGAGTAAGTTTTACACGTCTAGGTTGCCTAGGGGAATGCGGGCTGCTGGGTTTTCCACCGGTGCTACTGCTCTGAGGACTCCTTGGCGAGGATGGTCCTGCCGACTTCACTTCGCTGCATTCATCTGCCATTTTTTCACTGCTAATTTGTAGCTGAGATGTTGATTTGTAGAAGAAGCTTTTATTGAGCACAAAACCTTCTATTCATTAATGTTATGGCAATGATTGTGCCACTGATCATATATTGGGATGCAATTATTAGATGTTCATCTGAAACAGAAAAATATAACGTAATTAATATCAAATAATATATGAATTTTAAAATTATAAACTGTTTTTTACTCTGCAATTATGTGATATAAATAGTATTTCATTAAATAAAAATTAGTTTATTCGTATCTACTTTATCATCAAGAATAAATATTTGAAAGAATAATTCTGTAAAACAGATATGTTGCATTATAAAATCCATAATTTCAAATATATATCATCCTCGAATGTTATATATATATATATATCCGATTTATTAACCTACAGATCACTTCATTAAGCACTTATTCATATCGCTAGGTTGAAATTACTAGCTTGTTTATGGAATTAATTTATAAATTTTTTGAGAATTAATATATAAAAATACAACATGTGTCCATTCTTTTCTCTCCCAATCGATTTAATCATAATATAAACGTATCCATAAAGCGTTACAAGACTCGCGCGTAATATCGTTATAACAAACTAAGATTAAATGAAATTCTGAAGAAATAATATTCTAAAATCACGCGAATAATCGCTAGAATCTACCGTGACGGCAATTAGAAAGGCGGAATGCATTTATCTCCGGCAGAAGACGTGAGTCGTGACGCCATTACGTCGACATGTCTGCCACGAAGGAGCATTTACGCTCAAGCATTCATCTTTTTTTTCACTCGCGCCTCATCCCTTCCTTCTTTTCTTCACTTTCGAACGATCGAACGTAACGAGACGTAGATCGTAATTGCTATTTCGTGGATTTCGAATCGCGGGTTTGAAGACGATAAGCTGGTGAAGCTAATTCATCGCGATCGTTTTTCACAGCATCGCGCTCTCTCCAACATTTTTCTCGTCGTTAAAACTTCATTCACACCTACCTGCCTCATTCGTTAGAACAGAGATGTTGCTATTACAAAATGTTCGCTCGGTATCAGAAGAAAGGCGAAACGCGTAACATCGTGCGCACGTACAAGGCTCGCATATCCGTGGAAAAAGCGCCAAACGGATTTTCCGCGTGCGGCAAAGAGAACTTCTCTCTTTCTCGCTCTCTCTCTCTCTCTCTCTCTCTTCGCGATCGATCAATCCGAGCGGAAGCGAATGCACGAGGCGACGTGCAGCTCGCAGCGAAACGCTAGCCGCGGTATTTTGACATATGACACTATACGAGGAAATCAGTCGCGGAAACTCGCGGAAAACGCGCGATCCACCCCGTCAAGAACGCTGCGACTAATCATGATCATGAATGACTATCAACCTCGCGATCCCCGAGAGGAGCGAACGGACGCGTGCCAGCGCATGCTCCAATCATGATCGACCTACAATCCAATACGTATAAACCGGGAGATGAAGGGACAAATCTCGCGCATGCGTACCAACGCAAGCACTAAAAAACGCTTATATGCCTCAACTACGTATATATTTCATTGCGATAAGGAATGTCATTAGACTTTTGTGGAAAAATATAGCAAATATTGATGCTACATATTTAATATATAGAATTAAATATATATTGCATATTATTAATATAAATCACAACAAAAATTTTTTTTATTTAAGGCTCGTCTTTATTGTTGCTTTCAGTCAAATACTTCCCTTATTATTAGAATAATATTTTCATTTCTTTATATTTGACTTATTATGGTTATTATTTTATTTTATCCCGTTTATCGGTTTCGAAAAAATCGATTTTCTAAATTTCTTTTCAAATATGGCGGCTTTGCGCTATATTCTATTAATTAACCAATCAGGACAAAAGAAACAAAATTTTTTTGTTCCGACTGGCCAATCAAACTACTCCAAGAAGTAAATTTTGGAACGCAGTCCTGAAAACGTGGTCATCCCGTTTTTTTTTTCCGTAAAACGCTTACCTACTGAGATGTTTTCTGTATCTATGGTTAACGTGTGTTGATTTAGCGTACTACCGTACCACGTTTAGTGGATGGAAAGTCTAAAATAGTCTAAAATAGTCTAAAATAGTCTAAAATAGTCTAAAAAGAAAATAAGAAAAAAAGAACTCTCGAATGAAGATTTTTCATTGCTTGATTTTCTAACTGTCTTCTGTGTGTCCATATATTCAAGAATATTAGAATAATTCTAATACACAAAAGTTCACACACAATCAAGGTTTAATTAAGTTTGCTTGATAACAATACTGAAAACACATTTACTATGATTACGACCTGGAGGTTATTATTTCCTATTAATGGCGCTAATTTATTATGTACAAGGTAAATTATTTTATTGATGTCCTATTATGATTGATTATTTAGAAACTTAAATTAATATATTACTAAGTTTTTAACACTGTGCAACAATGTATCTATCCATGAGAAATAGCAAAATCTTTTAATAGTACATAAATTATGCATTATTGAAATTTATGATTAAATAAAAGTTAACTTGCAATTTTATTTCTCTAGTCATTACAATTATTATTATTCCAGAATATGTTTCGATAAAGATACATAAGAAAAAATAGACATTAAAGTGACCTAATGGGAAGAAAAATGTTTATAAAATTTTATTTTTTAAATCTTTATCTTTTAAATCTATACAAATAAATAGGAGTAAGAATATAATTTAAGGTTTTGTAAATTAAAAATAATAAATATATAACTAATAAATTTTTAATTTTTTATTATAGGAGATTGGCTACCACACAAGACTCCATTGTATCCAAACTTAAGCGCAATATAGAAAAAGATATTTTACCACCAAAACCAAAGAAACCATTAAATGCATTTATACAATATTTTCTATCTATAAAAGAGCAGTTGCACAAAGAATATCCCAATTGTACACAAAAAGATATTTTGAAGAAAGTAGCGGAGCAATGGACACAAGTGGATCCAACAATAAAACAGAATTTTCAAAAGCAATATATGGAACAACAGTCTGTGTATAAACAAAAATTAATGGATTATAAAAATTCAATAACTGATGATCAGCAGATGCTGATACAAAATCAATTAATAAAAAAAGAGCATGCTTTAGAAAGAAGCCAAATTAAACAAGTATTTATATCAAGATTTTACACTAAAATCTGAAAATTTGGTTATGTAATATGTAACATGTAATATGTTTTTATTTCTATGATAGAAACTTGCAGACCTTGGGAAACCAAAGCGACCATTAACTGCCTTCTTCTTATTCATGCAGGATAATAAGATGCTCAAAGATTCACAAGTATCACAGAAGGTAAGTTTATTAAGCATGATTTACACAATGGTTTTTTATTAGCTATTAGCATACTAGTTAAAGAGAAAAATAAGCATAGCTAATTTACTAGCATTTTAAAATACATGATGCTTTTTTACTAATTCCTAGGAAATTAGCATGCTAGTAGCTAATAAAAAAGCATTGTGTAAACCATGCTTTACTTTCTAAGAGATTAGATATATAAAGTATATAAAGAGAAAACTTATTACTTAAATTTATTTTTTAAGAAAGTAGGAAAGAGAGTAAAAAAGAAAAGTAGGAAAGTGATATATAATGTTTTGTTCTTTTTGCATATTTTTAGGATTGGATGAAGAATATAAGTAAAGAATGGAAGAATTTAACAATGGAAGCTAAAAATAAATATACAGCAGAAGCAGCACGACCTTGTTCTTTTTGCATATTTTTTTAGGATTGGATGAAGAATATAAGTAAAGAATGGAAGAATTTAACAATGGAAGCTAAAAATAAATATACAGCAGAAGCAGCACGACTAACAGAAAAATATAAAACCGATATAAAAAAATGGGAGAAAAATATGATTCAAGAAGGTCATCAAGATTTGTTGAAATCTACTCTTAAATCTAAACGCAACACCAATATTGATAAACACAAAGAATAGGATTCGGAGTGTCCCAACCAATCTAGTATGCACATCCCTAAATCTATTGCTGCAGATTTCTCTAAAGTCAAAAATCGAAACAAAGAGAATATTAAAACAGGTTGGGGCACTGATACACAGTTTACTCTTGGAAATATTTATGATGCTGACAGTGGTAATAGAAAAATCATATTAGCTTAAAGATCTTACATAATTATTAAAACCATAAAAAATATATTATTTACAATTTGTTTAGATAAACGATGTAAATCTACAAAAAGTTTGGTACTTTACAATGTCGAAAACAATTTACGAGATGTAATGAAATATTCAAGAAATACGTCAGATGCATTAATAAGCAATGTTAATGAATCAGTAATGCAATCTCACAAATCACATACATGGACGCATAAGTATTTTGCTTCTGTATGGCAAAGATTTTTAACAGTCTTCAAAGAGTGCAGTAAAAATTGGAAGATGGTAAGAGAATATGTATTTATCGGTACAGGTGGTATTTTAATATCAATATTTTGCGTTTTTAACCTTATGTATAAGTAAGCATTGTTTGTATATCGAAGTTATTGAGGTACAGCTAGCATTTTCGTTTTTTATATAGTCTATAGTTTGTATTTTGTATTATATATTTTCTTTATGTAATAAATTTGTGTATATTATTATTATTTATGTAAATATTCTTTAATTATTATCAATGGAATCATCCTTAATTAAGGATTATTCTGAGAAATTCATCTCAAATATTAATGTTTTAAGTTTTGTTCTTGAATCATACGTGTACTAACATTTCATTACTTTCCCTCTGCTTTTTTATAGAAATTTACATTAACCCAAATGGATTAACTGTTACGATGATGACAGCAGCAGATACATCTAATGGATTAGGCTATCAACATTTTATATGTCTTATATTTAGATATCGATAATTGTGTGAATTATCTTAAAGCAAGTACGAGTTATTTTAACAGGTCAACTTATGTACTTTTATCTTGCGCTCATATATTTGTATTAAATTTACAAATTATATTGTGTATGCAATCCACAGTGATTCGAATCAACTTTTCCACTATTCGTCACATGATTCATTTTTGGGTGCGTTCCGTTTCACGCATAGATCGCCTGGAAATCTATAGTTCACGTAACATATAATATTAATTACTTATCCTTGTTTAACATTCGGTGAATAACAAGGATAAGTAATGCATCATGCGCATCATGCATGAAACGGAACGCAGCCTTAGTTTGCTACTTACGGGCGGCGCTAAAAGTCATTCTCTAACCTAATTTTTCAAAGAAGCGTGTTTCTTCCCTTCATTTACATCTATTCCTACGAATATCCATAAACGAATACAAATCCGTTTTATTTAATCTTTAATGCTCTTCTTGATTGATGCACAATTTACACAAGTGCATATTACAAGAAAAGCTTGTCATCGTATATTGGATGTAATTATTAGATACAATGATGGCTGAATCAAATGCCAGAAGGGAAGCAAGGAGACGACGAATTTTGGAAAATTCGGAAAATCGATTACGTAAAATAACAGCGAGAAATAATGCAGATGAAATTGAGGGTAAATATAAAGAACGAGTTAAAAAAATAGATATATATGGAAATCTAATGTAAGATATAAGAGAATAACTATATGTTTCAAGTTTTGAGAAAATCTAGTAATAATTCAAAACAAATAAAATTAGAGGTTGTACAAAATATCGCGTACATACACACACACACACACATACATACAGACATTTTTTAGGAATATGATTTTTCGACGTTTTGGAACATTCTAAACACATTGGCATAGAAAACTCGAAAAAAAATTTTGTCACGAAAACAAAGCTTCCTCTATGAGGAAGCAAAAAGACTTAAATATAATAAAAAATTTTCAAAGCACATATATACACTATATATTCTATTGGATGAAATATTTGATTCTCGCATAAACGCTCGAGTAGTTTTCTTAGCTAAATACATGCTTATGCATGTTGTTTTGTCTTCTCAATAATGTACATTATTTTGCCAAGAGATGCAAAGAGACAAACAGCGTTTTGAATAATTATCACAAATAGCAGATTTAAATTATTACATTATATGTTAATGTTAAAAGAAAATTATAACATTGATGTATGTAGCAAGCAGATATTGAAAGCATGCCTTGAGTTTGATTTTATAGGTGCTAGTACAATAAGTGCGTTATTATTACATGTTGATGAATTGAGATAGTGAGCTCAGTCTAACACGTTATCTCCAAAAAAATTTATTTTTTATATTTATGCATGATATATATATATAATATTTATTAGTTTATTATATAAATAGATTTTTGGCTTGGATTGACATATTTATTTAAAATATTTTACAGATGATAACCCACGAATGAAAAGCAACAGTCTTAAAGCAGAAACAGATTTGGAAGAGTATAATATCAGAAATGGTATATGTAATATCGATAAAGAAATAGAATTACAAGATTCTATAAGGCTCAATGATGATAAACATGAAAACTTTTTAAATGACACTAGGGATAGAAGTACATGCTTATCGAGACAAATATCCAAGCCAAAATTTATGTTACATGGATTATTATTCAGTCGTATCAATTTTATCCTGCTAGCTGGGATTGTCAACATTTTACTAATACTGAAATTAGATAATTTATTTGGGCAGGTAATTTCATCTAATAATTTATTGAAGTATTCACGTTCATAATTTACATGTGTTGTATGTTAATATTTACAGACAATTATTATACCTTACCTGTTACTGATGCTGGGACGTCTATATAATTGTAAGAGTTTACTTGAAACACAAGACAGCAATTTACTATTTGCTGCTTTGATATTGTGCAATATCAAACCAAAATTAATTTATAGATTTAAAATATCATTTGCATTATTTACTATAATCCTTAATGATTTTGGATTGTATATGTTCAGTTTTGTATTGATGCGTTATGTTATTACCTGCTATTACTACCACTATAATGCTACAATACCAATAAGTGTGTAATTATTTATGATATTTGAATGAGAGTAAAGATGAAGTGAAATTCCATTACCAAAAATTTTGTATAAAAAGGAAGTATGTGTTTAGAACATTATAAATTTCAATATGTGGATACACTATTATTTAATATACAGAATAATCTATTGTATATCTTTTTACATATTAGTGTTGTCTTGATTTAAACTGAATGGATATTAGTAAAAGTGTCATATCAAAAACATTAATTTTTTTTAAGGATGTATGTAATGTAATATAAAACATTTTTATATATAGATTAATTCATAGAATTAATTATATATTGAGCAATTTATCTTTTTATTATTTATATTGTCAATATTTTTAAGATCTTTTTTTTATCTGCCTCTGCCATTATTAAAGATCTGTCCAGTGTAATAATTTTGATAGTATTATAGTGAAACTAAATATGTACATGCATACATACACACAAAACCCATTGCTTTATTAAAGATATGCAATTGTCACAATACACACTGCTTGTGGGAAAGAAAGTCTGTAAATACCAAAAAATGAAATACACGAAAGAAGTCAAATTATTGTAACGTATTGTATCTTTAAAAACAAATAAAAGAAATTTTGTATCTGATAAGAAAATAAGTCTGACATTTTTTATCATATGAATGTAATATCTGATTTAAAATTTAAATTAGTTCAGAGAACTGTATAACGAAATAATTATTATTTCTACATTTGAAATGAGATAGATATATACATATGTTTAATCATTGAATAACGAAGAATCTGATTGTGACTTTTGTGAGTGTAGACAAATGTAGAAAGTGCAAGCAAAACGAACAGATCTTACATATGTCACCAGAGAGAAGAATGAGAGTCGCCACGCTGCCGTTTTTCGTGTAACGCTTTTTCTAGGTCGTACACTACCGTCACGTACATCCATTTTACGCCGCCTGGAACTACATGGCCACATCCATTTCCGACTCTCATTCTTCTCTCTGATGTCACTCTTTTATGTCAACAAAGTCACTAATGTTAAATGCATTAAAAAGGTGAACAAACTGTGTTGGTCAAACTAACATTTTTGGATCAGTACGTAACAATAATTTTTTAATTAAATGATAGCATTATATAATATCATATTTGCATATTATATATGTACCATATATAACCTAGGAAATCATATATTCCGTATATATTTCGAATTTCTGAAAATTAAGAAAATCATTTGAAAATACGGGATGATTAGATCCTAAGTCTAACACGATTCAAATAATCTTTATAATTCTGGTATTCGCAGTTCTTTAGAATACCGGTTTATTCAACTTATCATATGTTGTATCATAACTTAAATAAGTTGAAGACACTCCAATAGGAAAAAATTTTTAAATTCCAAAAAAGTTACTATTACAAATATACACTATGTATATATATACACATAAAATATTCAGGACGAATATAAGAAGCTGTGACAAATTACATTCTTAAGAATGAAAAGTGTCATATGAACAAACATCTTCTATTGTCAATACTTATATAATTACAATTATATTTATATTATCCAGATTTTGACTGTTCTTGCAATAAAATCTTATATTAATAACTGTTCACTACACATTTTTTATTACACAATTGTGGCTGTTTTTATTAAAGCCACTTTGTAGCAATGTAATTATGTAAATATTGAGATTTTTATAGCTTGAACTATCCACTTTAATTTTAGATCTTTGTATATAATGCTGATATAATACTTAGATTGAATATTGTATATGTTAAATATAAATAATAGATAATATATATATTATGTGTATGAGTAGCGCTTTTTATAATATTTTTATAAATGACAAAAATTATATAAGAATAATATTTTAGCTTATTTGGAAAGCAAAGGAAAAAGCTAATTTTTTTATTATGCTTTATATATTATAATTTTTTAAGAAGTTAGAGAGAGAAAGTTGGATATGCAGCTAAATGCATTGACAATTTAATATAAATTTTAGGAGTGTTCATATAAAACATATTGTATTTTATGTAATGGATGTGTTAGAACCAGAATTAATTTGGGTTAATGGATGCTGCTATAGATTTTACGAAAGTAGTGCCTGGAAAAATATTGATACATCAACCCCATACATGGAAGACAAAGAATCAGTTTGTTCAGATGAGGTATCTGACACTGATATAGAGATAGTGCCTCATAATGGGCAATTCAAAAATACCTTCAAAGTACCCAAGTGAGAATTTCCACAAATATAAATATGTCTGTCATTTTGACATAAATATAATAATAGTCAAAATTTAGAGTTAAGAACAGTGTAACAATTGTAATCTTGAATAGAATATAATAATAATACATATTAGCATAATTTTAATATTTTATAGAGTATACTATCCACATATAATTGGTGCAAATGGTATGACACGTAAAAAATTGGAAAATGAGACAAAAACAACTATAGATGTACCAAAGAAGGGAAAAGATGGGAACATTGGTAAAAATAATTTACATTACATCCTTGTGTGTCACATAATTTGAGAATAATATTAATTTAATTAATTTTAAATATTTTTATATTGCTATTATAATATTTTTTAAATATTATATGTTTATATACAGTTATTACTGCATCAGATCATCAAGCTATAATATCCGCAAGACATAGAATTGATTTACTAATAGCGAATTCAAGGAAAAAGATACGTTATACACATTTTTTGTCTATCCCATTGAATAAAAAGGGAATAATTGATAATTATAATTCTTTCAAAGATGATGTATTGAAAAAGTATGCCAAAACAGCATACAATATTGAAGAATCACTTTTTCAAATGCCGTCTAAGTTACATCTCACTATTGGAATGCTCAAATTACTTGATGACAATGAAAAAAAGCAAGCTATTGATGCTCTTTTGAGTTGTAAAGAAGAAATCATAGAGTAAGATAAATATATCGATTTATATAAATGTATAACAACAGTATACACAATATTGATCACACAAACCCGAGCTGCACATATATAATTGATCATATAGTTAATCATAAGTTTGATATTTATGGTATATTTATATCACATAAATCATATAAGTATAATTAAGATTATCTTTAAAAAGAATATAATTAATTGCAAGTAATTTATTCCAGCCCTTTTCTTGAAGAATTTGGGCCAATAAATATACAATTACAGGGAGTTGCATGTATGAATGATGATCCCACAGAGGTTAATGTTTTATTTGCACAAATTACGCATGATGAAAAATTACAAGAACTTGTTGATAAAATTGATGATTACTTTGTCGATATAGGTATAAACAACATATATAGAATTTTAAATCTTTAGCACATACAGTATTATGTAAACATTAAAGTAATAATTATCTAAAGTAATAATTTCTTAATTATTATAAAATTTTTAAACATATTTTTATTAATATTAGCTGTTTTATAACATTTTGTTTATTATTAGATAATTTTTACTTCCAGGTTTAAAGGAAAAAGAATATGAAACAATAAAATTACATGCTACTTTAATGAATACATCATTCAAACGTGAGGATTGGCGTGCAAAATCTAAAGAAAAATTTAATGCAATTGAAATATTAAAAGTAAGGACTTATTTTGTATACATTAGATTAAATTATATGATTTAGTGGAAAGTCGATGATATAAAAATTAATAACATTTATTTCATATTTTAGGTTTATAAAGACACATTATTTGGAGAAACTATATTTAATCAAATAGATATATCTGAACTTAAAACTGCTACAAAAGACAATTACTATAAAGCAATAAGTAGCATCACCTTTTAAATGCAGGGATGATATATATAATATGTGTGTACACATATTATTTAAATATGTATATATATAATATCTTAATTCTGTTTTATTCTTATTCAATACATATATGTATTGCATACAATAACATTACAGATATCTTATGTGATTGAAGATATAATTTTCCAAATAGAATCAAAGAATTAAAAATGCACATTTTTATTTTTTGTTTTCACTAATTATAAACAATTCAGTTTTGTTATTTCAAATTGCGCTGATTTAGATTTGTTTAAGATTGTTTTTTAAATTTACAGAAATAATCTGTGATTTGAGGTGAACTCGATTTAAACAAATGCGATAGCTAATCACTATACACAAGTGTATTATTTACGAAATTTGGGTGATACATACTTTGAGAATGCAAGCACATTATTAATAATAAAATTAGCAATCATATATGTCAATATAATAGGTGAATCAGACACGACATTGGTCGAATCCTAATCATGTATTTTCCTTATCAAACTGTCAATAGCGCTCAGTTTTTATTAGTTTTCATCTTTATCTTTGTTAATACCTAACCTCTTTTTCGTTAGATCTTATTAGCACTAATTAATATTTGAATTAATAAGTAAGTATCATAAATCTGATATCTTAAAGCTTTACAAATAATGTATCAGTGGAAACATATAATTATTTTTGGGAAGAAAAACGGATAATATAAAAGAAGACATATTATTTTTAAACTTGTAATTACAACACATACGCAATACGCGATTTAATTGTATATATGCGATATATGTTTCATGTGAGATTGCAAATGCTAAAATTGTAAATATTACAATTATTGATGTTTGTAAATGAGGAAGTTTGTGAAGAAAGAAAGGTGTTAACTCTGCTAACTCAAAAAAAAAAAAAAAAGTTAAAAGATGTAACCTCTCTTAAACGAACAGATTTATTTATTTACAAAGCCCAATTTGAGAAGCATATAGAAAAAAAGTTTTTTTTATAAGTCATTCTTTATATATGCTTAATATTTAATATGATACTTTTTTCGATGCAGATTATAAACAGATTTGTGTATATATATGTATATATTATTATTTAATTACTTTTAAATGTAAATGCTTTCTTACTTTCTACTTTTGAATATAACATTCAATAGTATTAGTATTTATTAAGCATTTGTGTACGTATGTTGGAATTAATTGAATATATATATAATCCGTAGTACATTGCAATATAAGCTTCAATAAAACATGATATGTATATTATATTTTGTATATATAAATAATTTCTGCTTACTTATTCTGCTTATTTCAATTAACATCAGTAGTAATATTGCCAAATTTATTTAACATTGGTAGGGGTAGCAAAAATGCATGGTATCAAAAGAGTGTTAGTTTTCTGCACATTGGTAGCTATCTTACCAATCACGCTTATAGTAATTCCTTTGTATTTGCGGCATATTTCCTATGCGGATGTTGCATATGCTGTAACAGAATCTGATATCATGGAGATCAACGATGGAATTTCGACAATATTTTGTTCAGTAAGAATAGACGTTTAATATTTGATTAATGCCATTATTTTTATGATTTTATATTTTTGTCATTAGTATAAAAAAGATTTAATATAAAACATATTATAAAAAATTTCAATTATAAATATATTTATTGTTTATGATAAAAGAATGCATGAATCAATATAAATGTTAAAAATAAGATTGTATAGATAATGTATAATTTTGCCTAATAATAATAATAATAATAATAATATACATAATAAAAAAAATATTTTTTCTCATAGGAACATACTTTACAAATGAATAGTACTTTTAATGCTTTTCAAATGGCTCAACGACCAGAAATAACATCTAAGCGAAAGCATATAAGGCTAAAAAAAAGCATGAGTTTACCAGATGATACATTAGAATATTGGGGATTTTATTTACTAAAAGGTGCAACTGTAGCACTCTCTGTGTGTTCAAGGTAAAAAAAGAATGAAGAAAATAAAATTATTAGATTTAGAATATAAACTACTCGATTTGTTAACAATAAATTAAACATATGATCTATACAAATGTGATTTCTAATTTTGTTTATTTGCACAAGCACAATGTATATAAACCAAAATGCTTATTTAGATTTCCAGGAGCCTCCATATTAGTGGTAAAAGGAGAAAGAAATTTACGTACTTGTGGTTTGTTAGAACACAATATCAATAAAGAACAAACACAAAATATCTACTTACCAGGTGCAAACAAACAGGTTAAAATAATAGATCAATCAAATGCACAAGAAATTGATTCTAAAGAATCAATCATGGTTGAGCCTATTAATATATATAACACTACCAATGTACATATATTGCTTGTAAATGTAAGTTCTGAAAATCCTGTAAATAAAAATGAGAAAGTTCTTATAAATACAAATAATAATACATGGTCGTATAAGTCTGATGAAAATTTGAAAGATATAGAGACATTGTATGATACTGCAGCATCTTATATCCAGAAACATATAGATGATCAACATGAAAGCATGAATCGCACCAGAAAATTAAGACATCTTAGACACCGCAAGAACAAAAATAAAAAAATAAAACAAAAGAGAAAACATGTACAAGATCAAGACAGAGAAATGCACATACAAAAATTAGAACGTGAATTGCATTCTGATAAAATTGATGAAAAAGATATGGTTGGACAGGAAGTAAAGTTGAAAGACAAGATGGACATCAAAAGATTTAGAAGAAGTCGAGAACTTATAAAGCCACCGTCCTTATTAGATCAAGGCATCAGGCATGGTGGAAATGCTGATAAAAATTTTACATCTAATTCTAACGAATCTTCATCTATTTCCAGTTTTGAGAATGGCTTATTCAACTGTTACGGAGGAGCGATATTGTTAGCTCATGAATTTGAACCTTCAAATCGCTGTACTGATGTTTCTTATTTGCTCAATAGTAAACACACACAAGCAAACCATCGTGTGGAAGAAGATGGTTATTATTATTACATTTTTTATAGCGATAATGATATTGTGTCTAATGATATTTATACGATTTTTGATATATATAAGCCAACTTTTCAATATGAAAATGTGTCTAAATCATGTATAAATAGAACTGAATGCTCCTTTACTTTAAGTCCACTGTCAGCAGATAGAATAATTGTTGAAATACCAACCAAGGATGGTATAGAACATAACGAGATGGATGATATTAGCATATTAATTTCTATTTGCCAGCCACGGATGGGTGCATATATGTTTTTTCCAATTGCAATATTGCTTTTAATTCTTGGTTGTGCTTTTATGTGAATATGGATCTCTAATTCTAAAGGTACTTGCACAAAATGAATAAAAAATGTAGAAATCTTTCATAATTAAGAATTTCTCATAAATCATGATATTTAAATGATTTTATGAATTAAATACATATTTAAACATGAATTGATTGAAAATTTGATATGGAACAAGAATCTAGGAGAAAACTATATTATGTTTTTAATCAGGTATAACAGTTTAGTTACTTAAGGTAAAAATTTTAAAATGTGTACTAATTATAAAAATTAATGTCTTTGTGTGTTATTGTTTATAGATCACTTTACGTCATTATATATAACATATAATGATAATTTTTTTTCTTCTATAGAAAAATTATTTTTGATTTGATAAGAAAAAACTATGATTGAGAAGATGTTTTATAGTTTTGGTTACATATCATAAATGATATGAGAAAAATGTACATATTATATATTACATATTCATATATTATATATTATATATATTCGGAAGTTAACTCTTATATATAAGTGTTTAGTATAATTAAAATTATAAAAATTTTTTATACTATTGCATATTTTTCATAAATTGTATAAGTACAAAAACATAAAATAAGATAGATTATTATATTACTGTACAAATTCATACTTAATGCATATTTTGTATGAATTAGAGAAAAAAAAAAGAGTGAGAGATAATAAATATATATTTTTTCTAACGATTAAATGTACAATTCTAATCAATCTAATAACCTTGTATTAGTACAGCCATCGATTTTATCACAATTTTGTGAAATAGTGTATATTTAAAGTGTCTCAACGAAGACCATTTTTCTTTTATATCATATTTGCCGCAATAGAACCCCCACTAGCGCCGTAAGACGCTACTAGTAATACGTCATTTCCGTCATGCGCGATAATTGGTCAACGAACGAAATATCTTTGTAAATTCTTTATACGAAAAGAAAAAATCATCAAATTGGTGACGAACAGCTTGCGAAGCGAGTGGCGATCATCATTGCCGTTAGAAACGCCGGCAACGTGCGCACGCAAAGAATCATCGAAATTCTGGTGCACCGTCCGCAGCGCCCCACAGCGGCAGAAGCGATAGTACATCTCGTGACGCCATTCAGATTCTTCCTTTCTGTCGAACTCTCGTGAGTGGAACATGTCGCATACAGCAGAACGAAGGTAAGTTGAGCGTTTTTCCCAGCGTAAACGTGAACCGGGCTCGCGTTTTCGCGCGCACGACGATTCCTGCGACGACGGTGCTGTCGCGGATTATCGCGCGTCGCGAAATTCCCGCGTTCGCGAATTTAACGTAAAATAGTGTGCCGCAATCGGTCGGTGTGCATGGGGCACACGAGACTGACAACATGGCGTGCATTCGTTTTAATCACATTGCCGTCGCGAAGATTAACGGCACGGTGGAGACCACATGCCGCCTCGTCGTTCCGCCGCTTAACCTCCTCGTCGCGATCCCGCGGCGAAGATCGCGCGAATCTATCTCGGAGCAAGCGTGCACGACGACGACGACGACGACGACGATGCGACGCCGTGCCGTCTCTCGATGCCGTTAGCGTGGGTGAAGAGGCTCTCCTTCAAGTCTCGCGGAGCTGCCACTCTCGTGCACACATTTTTCCATTCGGCATTCGGCAATTACGTAATGGAATATTCGCGATTTTCGCGCCGAAAAATCAATCGCGTTCGATCCGAACGTCTTACGAGCGTTCTCGTTTCACGCGTTGCTCGCGCGAAGCAACATGTCTTGGTAAGTTTCATTACGAGCACGCTTTCGCGTGAGTCACTGTCAAAGCATTTGTCGCGCGAATTAATTTTCGTGTCTTTCCTCGAGATACGAATTCACCTTTTACTCATGCTATTTCCCCGTCGCTTACAAATTTAAAAATGGCCATCGTGGATTTTCGATGGATGCATATTTTACAAGATCGATTTAAAAGTTGGACTTTCAAGGTCACGTGGGTTTAAAGTGATTTGTCATCACTCGATCGTTGTAACTGTGATCTCAGTTTTGTATCGATACAAAGTGCCGATATATGCACTGATATTTTTATTAAAATATTTATAAAGTATTGTATGATAAATTTACTGCACGAGTTTTGATTAATCATATGGAGATAAGAAAATAACATGATATATGTTCATTTATTTATCTCTTTGTTTTGCGCTATAGTTTTTTTCTAGATTATTTACTTCCCTTTATATATATTTTAGAAATAATATCGCATACAATAAAATATATAACTGAAATTCTTTATATATTATATGGATATGGATATGTTAAACACTTTAAAGTTTCACTTGCGAAGTTTAAAGATCTAATTATTTTATTAATATTTCTAAATAATAATATCTAATGCGTTTCAGAAATGATGATCAATGGCCAGGAGATTCAAAAAATGGTCCCAGTGAAAGCGAGCAACCCACATACGATGGACCGCCAGGAATGGATCCTGATGGTATCATCGAGTCCAACTGGGACGTTGTGAGTACATTGCTTGCTATTTCATAATTACAACATTCTAGATAGTAACATTGTACTGCTTACATGTTTGAAAAAAGTAATATATCATTTGTCATACAAATTTTGATGATTTAGATTAGTATTATCAATATGAATTAAATAATTTCTATATCTGAACGTGTTCAAAATTGCAAATATATAATGTATATACATATATATTTTTACATATTTGCCCATTTTATTTGATATCATTAGCAAACATAAGAAATCATTAGTCAAGTATTCAATAAAGGAAGAAGAAACAAAATTTATGAAAATTTAAGTATTTATCAATTTGTTTGCATAAATAAGAAAATTGCTTTGAATGATTGCATTACGCTTTATTAATTAATTCTATATTTAAATATGTTGCATTATTTTATTTTATTCTTGACATAAACTTTTTGTATATATATCTAACACTTCCTGCATTTCTATTTTAAAGTAAATTCAAATTATACTCAAGATATGGATTGGATACTTAAATATTGATAGCAATTATTTATATTTTTATATGATCAGGGTGTCTACTCCTTGGAAAAACATGGAAAACCTGGAATTTTCAGGAATTTCTTTGTACCTGGAAAAATCACGGAATTTTATTGAGACTCAGGGAATTTCTTAAAAAAATCCTCTGTTTGATAATTTTGCTCTTTTATCGTAAACAGTCTGCAAACCAAGTAAATTATGCGTTTAAAACATATTATAAATATATATTTATGTTTGTTTATATATATTCAATGTCTTAACAAAATATTGAATATGCAGTAGATATTTTTTATTATAATTTTTAGTGACAAAAAAATGGAAATTTTATATGCAAATGAAAAATACTTATGAAAGTTATTCAGTTTTTTTCAGTACATTTACAAATATAGCACTTGAAACTTAAGAGGCTTTGTGCTTTTTCTTCATGTGAATGAAAAACATTAGAAAATGTATACAATGAAAAAACTTATTTTAGAAAGTTGCACCAAAAAATCTTTAAAATATTTTTTTACCTGGAATTTTGAACAATGTTATCTGGAAGATCAGGGAATATTTTTACAAGATTAGGGTAGACACCCTGCTAATTCAATTGCATTTTGAAAATATTCTGGATTTATTTGAATGAAAGAGCTTCTAGAAAGTTTTTAGAAAGTTTCAACAAATTTATTATACACATGTGCTATATGAGTCTAGAGGCAATCAATTCTTATTAAGGAAATTTTTTTTAAATAATTGTCATATCACACTGGTTTTTATATCAAATTAATTATACAAATGCAATTTTTAGATATTAAAGAACTTTTATATCTCCAAGAATTATAATTTAGTAATTTTTTTATGTATATTTTATAAAATCTTTTCAATATAATTTTTATTTTTGTGTAGTTTACAAGAATTCTTATAAAACGAAAAGATTTTCTTGGCAATTGTACTATAATTATAATTATATTTTATGAATTTATTTTGTGAAGTTATTACATTGTTATCACTGCATTATATATAATATATTAGAAATATTATGATTTGTGTCAATTGTACTGATATTATACTTTAATTTCAACAGGTTGTGGAAAACTTTGATGAAATGAATTTAAAGGAAGAGCTATTACGTGGTATATATGCTTATGGTTTTGAAAAACCATCTGCAATCCAACAACGTGCCATCCTACCATGTATAAGGGGGCTCGATGTTATTGCTCAGGCTCAGTCTGGTAAGAAAATTTAGTGCAAAATGAAATGTAATCAATAATAAAAAAGAATAAATGTTTGTGTGTAAATTTTATTACACAATTTATTTTAATGAATGTCGTATATTTTCAATTATCCACAGGTACTGGAAAAACTGCGACTTTCTCGATATCAATACTTCAACAAATTGACACTAGTCTTAAAGAATGCCAGGCCTTGATCCTCGCACCGACTCGTGAGTTAGCTCAACAAGTAAGTGTCTCATTAGGGAATCACTTTATTTAAACAAAAAAAATTCCTATTTATTTCAAGAAAATTAATGTTTTCTTTGTTTTCTAGATCCAGAAGGTTGTTATCGCTCTAGGAGATTTTATGCATGCAGAGTGTCACGCGTGCATTGGTGGTACCAATGTACGTGAGGATATGCGAAAATTGGATCAGGGTGTTCATGTAGTCGTCGGTACGCCCGGTAGAGTTTACGACATGATCAGTCGACGAGCACTTCGGGCAAATAGCATCAAACTGTTTGTGCTGGATGAAGCGGATGAAATGCTTTCTCGAGGATTCAAGGATCAAATCCATGATGTATTCAAATTATTACCTAATGAAGTGCAGGTAAATATCAAATATTTTTGAGAAAGCATTGTAAATTTTTTATTACAATTGCCTTCTAATAGATAATTTTATTTTAATTATTAGAAAATATCTTTTTTGGACAAATCCACAAATCATACAAGACGAAAAAGTTGCGGTATACCTTATAATAATCGAGTTAACAAATATATTGTAAAATACAGGTGCGTCGTAATAGTGTCATTTTTCGACAAATGTACACTATAGGTTTGACATACGCTGTTTACCATCAAATGTGTTCTTTTGTATGAAAGTATTAGGCCTAAATGCAAACAATTATTATGGCATAGCACTCCTAATAATAATCATAATGTCCTAAAAATCAATTAGTCACTCTTAATATCTCTGTGATAGCAGCAAAAAATTTCAATTTACCTATTACAGCATGATGCCATTATTGCACACATAGTTATTTACATATAACATATCAATAAACGCAGTTTATTTATTTCTTTTACCAAACATATAAAATATTGATCATTACATTGTAATTACATGGTTTCTTGCGAAAGAGTGTAGTCTTTGTATTTCTAATGCAATCGTATAATTATCTTTTCCAGGTTATATTATTATCTGCAACAATGCCATCTGACGTGTTGGATGTATCCAAATGCTTTATGCGAAATCCGATTCGTATTTTGGTTAAGAAAGAAGAATTGACATTAGAGGGTATCAAACAATTTTTCGTTTACGTTGAACGTGAAGATTGGAAATTGGAGACTCTCTGCGATTTATATGACACACTGAGTATTACCCAGGCTGTTATTTTCTGCAATACACGGCGTAAAGTAGATTGGTTAACGGAAAGCATGCATAAACGTGACTTTACTGTTTCGGCTATGCATGGAGATATGGAACAAAAGGAGCGCGATCTTATTATGAGGCAATTCCGAACTGGATCATCCAGAGTTTTGATTACCACTGATCTTCTAGCACGTGGTATTGATGTACAGCAAGTCTCGCTTGTCATTAACTATGATTTACCTTCCAATCGAGAGAATTATATCCATAGGTAAGTTTAATAACAATTAATTTTTAATTATAATCTCTTGAAATTTAAAATTATTAATTATAAAAAAGGACAGCGAGAATTTATAAAATATATAAAGATGTATAAAGGAAATATAAATGTTATATCTACAACTTTTTAATTTAAAACCATTTCACTAATCATCTATAATCAGTTATGATTTTGAGGAAATCAAATATCATATTCTAACATTTTATTTCTTCAAGTAGCAAGTATATTTTAAAGAGTTATCAACAATGTAATCTGTATGTGTAAAAAGATATAATTTTTATATCCATATAATATCAGAATTTTGTAATATAGCGAATGTATAAGTAATTTCTTTCATATATGTATATGTATACATATAAGTTTATAGATACTTAATATATTTTTCTTTATTTACAGAATTGGTCGTGGCGGCCGTTTTGGTCGTAAAGGCGTGGCCATTAATTTCGTGACAGAGGAAGATAAACGAACCTTGAAAGATATCGAGCAATTCTACAATACGCATATTGATGAAATGCCAATGAATGTCGCTGATTTGATCTAAGTCCGACTCTTGGCTATAATCCATTATAATAAAAAATAATAATAAAAAGTAAGTGACAGAAGCTCTCAGCTGATCGATCTCTCATGGTGTGTGAGTATATATTGAGTGCGGTGGTGAACTATATCGCTTATGTAAACGCGATCTAAACCAAAATATTCCAACGTTTTCATATTCATTTTGAATTATAATAGTAGGTTACGGAAATAGTTATCTGTTGCGCTGCAGGAGTTAGTAGTACGACTATTATTACTATTAGTGTAATTAGCACTACTGTTGCTATCGATATCGCTGCTACTGCTGCTGCTACTATTACTATTATTATTATCTCTATCGTTACCGCTATAATAATACTACTATAAATATTATACTACCATTGGTATATTATTGGTATTAATTATAATCAAGATTATTTTTTATTTTAATTTCTAACTATAATATAGTGATACTATATTATCATGATTGAAATATCACACCATAGAGTGGAAAATAGAATGAAAGTGCGAAAAACGCAGCACCGTGCAGTTCGATTATATTTTATTGCTATTATTGCAACAGGTTTTACATTACCCAGCATGCGTTCATACTCTTATCCCGTCGTAAGTTCAATGGTCATTGTAGAAATCTTGAAATCTTATTTTTTAAGACTTCTTATTTCGCCTATTTTCCCCCAAGATATTTCTAACTGGATGATCAAATCTGTTGTGTTTAATAGTCCATATAAGATGCTTCTATCACCGCGATTACAACTTGTTTGTCTAGGCAGAGGTTTAGTTGGGTATTGGAGGGGATATTTTAATCACAAGCGTTGTCGAAGAAGACATATATTCAAGTTTAGGAAATATGAATTTTTGTATATCTAAAGTCCCAGGCATACACACAAATACACACCTTATTCATATTAAATAAAGTGTTTGATCTTTTAAGAGAGTGTAATTTTTGTTATTACAATCTTTATTTTATCAAATTTTATTCAATTTTACAATGAAAACCCTGAACAAACTGTATACAAGTGAGATTCCCAAATTCCGAAAAGGATTGTGTTGGGAATAAGTTTTGCGGTTTATGTGCTGAAAAAGTTCTCACAGTTATCTTTTATTTGTATTTGCAGGCAGTTTTGGACAGTCCAGATGAGGGCGACATATTTTTGGAAATAAAGACCAGATTTCCTGATTTAAAATCGAAGTTTTGTAAATCGATTACCTCTCTAAACTCCTTTCATAGAGCTTTTTATAGGCTCTAGCAATATTTTTTCTTTTTTATACTTTTACATTATTCTTGTTGATAAAAGACAATGATCAACTCTTATATCAAAGATTTTTTTTTTACATTTGTCAATAAAATTCTTTGTGAACACTCGTTATTGTGTAAACTTCCATGCACTTATCGATGGCAGATATTAAATTGAAATGTTACATTGTGAGAACTTTTGTATCGTGTCTTTACAAAAAATGATTAAAAATATTGCGATATCATATTCTACTGTCGTCATTAAACGTAAATTTACAAAAAAAGTGTTAGTAATAGTTTTCGAAAATTTGAGCAAATAAAGTAAATCACGTAAGCACTTAGAACGCATCTTGTAGTTATCAATTTCTGACTGCATTAATATTATATTAACTTTACCTGCTCACATATTTGAAACGCAGCTTACGCTACTGCAGAATCTTCTCGAATTTCCGAAAACTAGTTATTAAAAAATTTTGTAAATATTATATAAATGGACTTTGAAAGAATAGACTATCGTGTGTCTATTGTGTATTTGTATATCATAAATAATATTTATGGCTGAAATGAACCTATAAACTGATACACAATAAAGTGAATGTCCTTTAAATATATATTTGTATTATATATCAATATCATCAATTGAACTCTTTTGCTTGACCAAGTATTTGTGTGCATAAAACTATGTTATACTTAAAACTGTAAAAAGGTATAAAAATTTTTCACCGTTTATTAATTATTAATGCAAAATAGAGAAAAAGAGAGATCGTACAAGTTATTTTTAAGAAAAACGTGGGGTAAAGTGCATGAACGGAGATATGTTTTGATAGAAATATTTTTCATTATATATATATATATATAAACACACACATGGAATTAAATTTATATAAATAACTTATAATGTAAAATGTATATAAATGCACAAAGATCTTAATATATTTGAATGATTTATATACACAGTAAGTATCTAATACATAATTTTTGAATTCGTAATATAACTATTGTACACGATGTAGAATAAAGTAATAACTTTTCTTTATGTTTTAAGAACTTTATACACCTGAGTATGTGTGAAAAATTGAAAAAAGGCACACCTTTCATTTTCTTAAAGCCTTTTTTTTAATCACGCATAAATCGTATGAATTTCGGTCTTGATTTATTCAAATTCGTATATGGAGCGCATAGATACAATATATCGATTTTCCGAATCGACATTGGAACATAAAGAATCGACCAATCACATGCCTAATATAAACTTAATATGACGTACGTGATTGGTTAGTAATATTAGGTTAGGTTTCGTTAAACACTCACTATTTTTATTCAGGTTAGATCTGTAACACGTGTGTTTATTAAAAATTCTTTTACTATAAATTTATAGAAAATAAAAAGAATATTAGATACACTATGTCTAAGCGTCCAGAACATATGGCACCACCTGAGGTGGTAAGTTGTAAATGTTATTAATTTATAATTGTATGTTCTCTTTGATTATAATCACTAAAAATAATTATATTGATGAATCAATGAAGGGGCGAATTCTATATCTTTTTTTTGTATGTGACAGTATTATAATGAAACAGAAGCAAAGAAGTATACGCAAAGGTATGTCTCTTTATACAAAATTTATATTACATACATCTACTGTGCATTTATTTGCACTAATAAGATCCGTATATTTACAGCTCCCGTATGATAGATATCCAAGTACAAATGTGTGAACGTGCTATAGAACTTCTTCTTCTACCCGAGGATCAGAGCTGTTTACTTTTGGATGTTGGTTGCGGATCAGGCCTTAGTGGTAGCGTATTGGAAGATCAGGGACACTTATGGATAGGAGTTGATATCTCTTCATCTATGCTTGGTAATTATTTTAATTAATATGCAATATAGTTGTCTTTTACAGATCTTTTTTATTATATTTGCTATACTGTTTTACTACTATTAAACCTTACTACTTTTGTTAACTATTTTTTTTCTTATTTTATTTTCTTACTCTATTTTGTTTCTATTAATTGATTTTTCTTTATATGTAACATTAGATATATGGTTGATGTTATTTTTCAGAGGTAGCTAATGATAGAGAAACAAATGGCGATTTGATCTTAGGAGATATGGGTCAAGGACTACCGTTTAAGGCTGGTGCATTTGACGGTGCTGTCAGTATCTCTGCGCTACAGTGGTTATGCTATTCAAACAAAGCTTCACACAATCCTATAAAGCGTTTGTATAATTTCTTCTCTACGTTATTTGCATGCCTGTCAAGAAGTGCCAGGGCAGTATTACAGTTCTATCCAGAGAATAGTGAACAAGTTGAATTAATTACTGCACAAGCTACAAAAGCAGGCTTTTTTGGTGGTGTAATTGTCGATTTTCCAAACAGTACAAAAGCGAAAAAAATGTTCTTAGTTTTAATGACTGGGGGAGCTGCGCCACTCCCAAAAGCACTAGGTACAGAGACTGAAGATAGACAAACCATTGCTAACTCCAAAAGGTTCGACTTTTATATTTTATTACCCATTATTCCTGTTATCTTGTATTTTGCAATTTAAACTGCATTTTAAATTATATTTTTATCTTTTTTATCTTACAATATATCAAATATTAATAATTTTATCAATTTTGCATTACAGGGAATATATTAAAAAAGCCAGAGATAATAAATCATTGAAAAAAAGTAGAGAATGGATAATAGAAAAGAAAGAAAGGAGACGACGACAAGGAAAACAAGTGAGAGATGATACTAAATATACTGGGCGAAAAAGATCTGGACGATTTTGAGATATGCTTGTAATGTATAAAATATTTTAAAAATTTTGATTTAGTTATATTTATAAATAATAAAGTTTATATAAAAACTAATTAATTTTTGTTTCTGAATCACCCAAAATTTAGTTTGAAAATAATATGTTGTGATAAAATATTTTTTTTATGAAAAGGCACACATATATTTTGTAATATTTTTTGTTAGAAAATATTTAAATAACATTAATTTAATAATTTTTTGCAATTGTATATAAATGCTATATACATGAAGTAAAATATTAACATTAATCTGTTCCTTGTATTACACTTAAAGACTTATTTGTAATGACATTACTAGAATAATTGACAATAGTGACAATAAGGAAAACTAGAAAGAAGGAACTCTAATATTTTATATTATTATTTAAGTAAATAACATAAATTGTGAGATACTTTTCTGTATTCCATGGGGTAAAACGTTGTTAAATTCTGTATTATCTAACCACTGATACTTTATATCACTAGCAACATTTCCATCTAAATGTTTTGCCAAAAAATAAAATATTTTAGCGCCATAAGTTCCTTGCTCCTGAAGTTCCTTAGGATATTTATATTTATAAAATCCAATTGGTGCGTTGCCATAAAACTTCGCTTTTATTTCTGTACCGCATGTATCTTGTAATACTCTTTCTGCAGTCTGTAAAAGAATAAGATAATATCAAATTATATCTTTTTCATCAAACTGTTCTTGGTTTTTGGCAATGATATATGTGTATGTGTATGTGTATGTAAAATTAGTAGCAGAGAAATATTATGGACATACTTGTCTCATGGTCTCTCCTTCCTTTCGAATACCTTGAGGAGGTATCCAATAATATGTATTACCTACTTTTTGTTGTATTAATAAAAGTAAATTTTTATCCAATTTCCGTTTTAAAGATGATGTTATGTTTTGTTCATCAAATTCTAAAAATGGATATAAACAAATTATTTGTTATGATAAAAATAATGATTTATAAATTGTGTGCGTGTGTGTATAACATAAAATTTCTATATTTTTATAAATAAGCAAATTTTCTTTTTGTCTCTTTCTTTCTCTAATATATTATATAACTTATTTTAATATATAAAAAAATAATTTTTTTTATTATATAAATTCTGTCTTGTACTTCATTATTGAGAAAACTGACACATACTTGTAATTCTTGGCGCAAATTTAAAATTGTTCAATTCTTCTTGAGAATTATCTTCAAAGTCCTGTGCAGTTTGTATCAAAATATTATCTGTATCTTTATCATCTAGATTGTCTGTACTGCTTAATTTTTTCTGTTTTGCCTCTTTTTCCACTCTTAGTTCATGATCACATTTTAAACTATTCTCATATTCAATTTTCTTCAATATATTATAAAACTTTAATTCTATTTCTTGCATTGGTTGTGTTATAACTGGATGGCGTTCTAAACAGACAGCACTATATAAATCCCATTTTCTTGTGGTTGCGGTACTACCAAATGCTCGAGTATCCTGATATTGAACCACTTTGGGATATACCGTAGCAGCTTTTCTTGATATACCTGTACAAAATGTTTATGACCTCTCTCTGTGTGATAGAAACGTGCATACAAATGATTATATCATCATAGTTTAAATAGATCAATAATCTAAATATGGAATTAGACATTACTTTTTTTCAGATTAATATTTTATAATATTCAAGTAGAAGAAAAAAAAAGAAATAATTATTTTTTTTTTTTACATACCCGATAAGATCTGACATGGGTTATACGATGTAGATGAATTCACAATTTGTTTAAAAAACATTGCGGATCAGTTATAACCTCTTTAACCTTACCACAACCATACCATAACCTTAAGTAATCGCCGCAGCTGATTCGATATCTCGATCGTGTCAATATTTCGAGAATCGCAATTGCTGACCTCTAGATTTCAAACCGTGGTCAGTCACGATACTTGTCGCGACATTTCTTACTCCGCTCCGCTTCTTTCGTCGATATTATCGTCTAAAAGTGTGAATCTTGTGCAAAAAATCACAAATACTTATCTCGCGAATTAAACGCGTTTGTCGTAACGTAACGAACATCGCGTGCAATCGTTCTTATACGTAAATATCATGATTCAAGCGACCCGATTTTGTGTAACGGTTATATTGAAACTGCGTCATTTTCCTCGCGAGTGTTATTGCCTAAAAATGTGAATCTTCCACGCAAAAAATCATCGCGAGTAAACGCGTTCGTCGTAATGTATCATAAATATCGCGTGCAATCATTCTTATACGTCAATATATCATTATTCCGGCGATCCGCTTCTGTGCGGATGTGTAAAGGTTGCATTGAAATCGCGCAGCTTTCCTCGCGAGTGTAAAGTCCGTTGGACTACGCATTGAAAATTGAAGATTGGGGATTGAAGATTGGAATTTGACTAAACAGGTTACCGATCATGTAACTTTTTCCCTAGGGCGGAAACGTGAAAAGTGAAAAACATTAGCATTGAAATCAATGGCAAAATTTTTCATTTTTCACTTTTTTGCCCTAGGGGAAAATTACATGATCGATACCCTGAGCCAAAGAAACTAAAATTTCTTTGTTCATGGTACCGATCATGTAACTTTTTCCCTAGGGCGGAAGCGTGAAAAATGAAAAATATTAGCATTGAAATCAATGGCAAAATTTTTCACTTTTCATGTTCCGCCCTAGGGAAAAAGTTACATGATCGGTAACCTGTTTAGTCAAATTCCAATCTTCAATCCCCAATCTTCAATTTTCAATGCGTAGTCCAACGGACTTTACACTCGCGAGGAAAGCTGCGCGATTTCAATGCAACCTTTACACATCCGCACAGAAGCGGATCGCCGGAATAATGATATATTGACGTATAAGAATGATTGCACGCGATATTTATGATACAATTTCAATGCTAATATTTTTCATTTTTCACGCTTCCGCCCTAGGGAAAAAGTTACATGATCGGTACCCTGATTAGTTAAATTTCAATCTTGAATCTTGAATCTCAATGTTCAATGTGTATAGTGTGATGCGGTTACGATCGGGAAGACGTGATTCTCGCGCGCGAGAAAATCATCGCGAGTGTCTTGTAAAGTGAACGCGTTTGCAGTGTTAAGTATCACGTACAATCGGTATTATACATCAGTATCACGAGTCCAGTAATCCGCTTTTATGTACACCCGGAATCGATCGAGATCTTCTTCACACATTTCACCTTGCCTTGCCGTTCGCATCAAAAGTACAACGATCATTGCCAAGTATGTCTACACATTTTGTTCAATAATTATGTGCGTCAATTATATTTTTTGCAATATGTGTAAATAGCAATCGATAGATATGTAAAGCAGAAATCGCCACTTTCTGATTTCGCAGTCAATTTTTGTATTAAAGATTATAGTTATAATATGCTCATTTTTAAATATTTTTTTTATATTTAAAAGATTTTATATAATCGTTAGAATTATTAAATAATCTTTTTTTTTTAATAATATTGTGTCCAGAAAATTATGTTTCTTGTTTTTTGAGATAAAAAGAAAAAATTATAAAGTATCTCATCAAAACTAGGATAGATAATAATAAAAGAAATATATCAATCAATTGTAAAATATAAATCAATATAATACTAAATCAAACATTTTCTGTACCGAAATATGATTTTTAGATATTTATATTTATACATATGTATTTTGTGATCATATACTTTATTGATAGTGATCGATCATGCCGATCATGTAGTTTTCTTTAATCGATAAATTACCCAAAGAACGCACACACATTTTTAATATAAATTTAATTTGCAAAAAAGATAAGAATTTACTCCAATACATTTTTCTATCTTATCGACACATCGAGATTTTAAAATGTTTCAGTAGGTAATTCTTTTCTTTCCTAAAATGTTTTTATTGATCATACACTGTGTTTATCTTTTTTATGATGCAGTATTATGGTGAGATGGCACTAGTGCCTATATAATATATATAATGATGAGATTTTGTGTAGTTCAACTATAAATTTGGATCTCTCATATTCAATAGGTATATATTATATCGCTCTATATTTTATATATATATAATACATATATATACAAATACATATACATATTTATGCCTGTTATACTATATGATAATTTCAGAGATATCTCTCTTAGATATTTTTTAGAAAAATTGATTTTTTAATTATATATTTTATAAAATACGCAATTTTTTTTATTGAGCTTATCGTTAATTGCAACATTATTGCAAGATTATTACTGAATGATTATCTTCATAATATTAACAATATTAAAATGATTATTTTGTTTTATCGTAATTTTATCGTATAATTAAGATTTTTCACAAAGATGATTAGGAAAATGTATATGTTATGGTTAAAACTTAAAATAATCAAATTTAAAATTGTTCCATGTGTGTGAAACTTGTGGAATTTAGGTATTGTTTAAACATATCAATATTGAGTATAATTTCAGAGTCTGTTTATAGTTATACTGTGATCTGATTATCGATAAGTAAATCAGAGCCTATATTTTTCTAAGAACTGATAATAATTTCGGACTTAGTTGGATGTGAAAATATTTAGGTAATTTACTTATAGTTTTGTGCTATGCAATTCATTCGAATTTTAGCGATAATATACTCGATATAAATCAGGAATATAATAAAAAAAAGATTTATTATACGAAAAAAAATCTGACTGATTCAATATTAATTGGGATAAAGCAACGCGCTTGGTTCTTTAAACTTGGCTCCGATCATTTTTTTGATGCAACGAGGTGTAACGCGGGGCGACGCGAACTCTGAACAGGTGAATGAGTACGGGAGGGCACGAATGATGAACGTTGGGGGGTAGGAAACCGATAGAGGATACGGGCGTCGGATGGTGTTGGATCTCTTGACGGGTGCATCGATGTCCACTGGCTCCCAAGGGAAATCCACTTCATGATGGGAATCCCATTATTTCCCGAACGATATAAAAGTAGGTAGTCCAGTCGTCCACGTGCTGTCCAGTTGAGGCTATTCCGATGGCCGTCCTCCATCCTCCCACGCCACATTGAGGCTTTCTTTTTCTCCGATTCTCCCTTCCTTCTCTTTTTGGTTG